GTGTCAGAGGCAGTGCGGTTGGCGCAGGATAGAGCAGGGTTTAGGGCTGCTGTACATAGGGTCGCTATGAGTCGCAGATGACTCGACGGCACATAACAACAACAACAAGTCTGATACTGGTGGTATATTCCATAAAAAAGTTGCACTGCTAACCCAAAGGTCCTGTCTCTATGCCAGTTTGAATCCACCAGTATGATTTACATCATGGAGGGTCAGCTATAGGTCAATTCCAACTCAATGGCAATAATTATTCTGATACTCTTTTTCTGTACCACTCCCAGTTTTGCTTTTTCTGTGTCTTTTTAATGTCCAAATTTGTTGTTGATTTTGTACAATTTTTTGTTGTTGCTTTCCCCCCCTCTTGCTCTTCATCCCATCCAGCATCAGACCACAATATCAGCCACACATACACCTCTTGCAATTTTACTCATCACACAAGAGTAAAAATTAACTCCTATTCACTGATAAATTTTAAAAACTGCTATCAACACCATGCCTATCTGCCCCTAACTTCTTTATACAAGCAGCAAAATAAGAACTGCACACGCTCGTCCCCATCCTCTATCAGGCCCACCAGAAGACCAGAGGTGAAACATTAAGAATTAACAAATTTTCAAATGGTACAACATACTTTCTTGTTTTAATTAGATATATCAAAACAAAATAATAAAAAAAAATCAAGAACACCAAAATATCCTGATGTCCTGGAAGCAACATGTTTCTTTAAACTACTCAAAAAAATTAGAATAAGATGCCACAAAAGAGTGACCAAAATCAAGAACCAGAAAATTTTTCAGAAGAAGAAAACTATTACAACTTCCTGATAAGGAATTCAAAAGAATAATAGTTAAGAATCTGTTTTAGATTGAGAAGAACACAGAATACATAGAAAATATCTTTAAATATGCAAGACCAAGTAGATGAAATAAATGGAAACAGAAGTTATACACTATTTTAATCAATAGATGATTAATATTCATTTTTACTTAAAGATACTGCCAGATTCTTCATTTTGTATTTTACTTC